GGACCTGAATGGCCGAGTGTCTAGCGCTCTGGCGCTCGGTGCCACAGGTTTCGGGTTCGAATCCCGGCGGTGCCATGGATGTTTGTAGTGGTTCGGAATCCACTTTAAGCCGTAGATCCCGGTCTCCTATGACTGTAAGAGCTTCACGGAGCCAAAGTCAGACTTCTACCTACAGGTGCTCCATCACAACAGAAGCTACTTCCTTCCCCTTCAATCATGAGTACGTATGGGCGTGGGCTTGGCCAGCCAAGTGGGATAAGAAACAACAACAACAACCGTTTCCCCCTTCTTCAAGTATCTTCAGTTCAAATTTGTAGTCATTGTGACGAGTGGTTCTTTTTGTACGGCATTTTGAAAGTGGGACTTTAACTATAATCACCCTGCATTACAAATTTCTCTCTGTGTGATAAGGTCTTAAAAATGTTGTTTTGTTACAGAACCACCTGACGGAGTTCAAGACGTCCAAGTGGTAGAAAGTGCAAGCCGAAGTATCAAATTGTCTTGGACGCCTCCGCAGTACAACGGGAATAGCCAAATCACCCATTACGTCATTCAGTTCAAGGACGAAGGAGGTAATACTACAAACCAATAGCACTATTTTAAAACCAGTTTTAATGGCGGGTTGGGCTGTTACATCTCATTTGTCAATATGTTTGCCAATGAATGAGCATCAGCTTGAAATGTTTTTTTTTTTTTTTTTTAATTTCTTTTTCAGTAGTTTTAAAAAGCAAATAAGGATAAAAATTTAATACAGGGATTTACAAATTTTTTTCTGATTAAGTATAACAAAATACTCTTAATATAAATTTTTAGAAATCTTCCTTGTCTTATTTAAGTTAATTACCCGTTAAGTCTTATTTAAAGTTGCTTTAAATGTTTGTTTTTAAAATTGAAACATATTCGTAAAATAAGCTTCAATGTTCTTAGAATACTCCATTTGTAATGTAGATTATACTATTTAATGATGAAAAGTGTGAGGATCATTCTACAAATAATACGTGATAATTATACATATAATTCTATAACAGAAAATAACACAAATAACACAAAAAAACACTTTTTTGTATTATTTGTGTTATTTTGTGTTGTTTTAAAAGAAAATAAGAATAATTTTTTTGTATAATGTAACAGTGGGATTAACAAACTTTTTTCTAATTAAATATAACAAAATACTCTTAATATAAATTTTTAAATATCCCACTTTAAGTTTAAAGTTGCTTTAAATGTTTGCATATAAAATTCAATCATATTCGAAAAATAAATTTAAATTTTCTTAGATTACTTCATTTGTAATACAGACAATACTGTTTAATGATAACAAAGTGTGGGGATAATACTAAAAAAAAACGCTGTGTTGTTATTTTCTATTGTTTTAAAAGAAAATAAGGATAATATTTTTAAAAAATGCAACAGAGGGATTAACGATTTTTTTTTCTAATTAAATATAATAAAACACTCTTAATTTAAATTTTTAAAATCTCACTGTAAGTTTAAAGTTGCGTTAACTGTTTGCTTTTAAAGTTCAATCATATTCGAAAAACAAATTTAAATATTCTTAGAATACTCCATTTGTAATGCAAACTATACTATTTAATGATGACAAAGTGTGGAGATAATTCTACTAAAAATATGACTTATATATTATATCATATATTCAACACTTTTTTTGTGATGTTATTTTTTGTTGTTTTAAAAGAAAATAAGGATAATTTTATTTTGTTTTTAATTTAATAGAGGGATCAACATTTTTTTTCTTATTAAATATATCAAAGTACTCTTTATATATATTTTTAAATATCACACTTTAAGTTTAAAAGTGGCTTCAAATGTTTGTTTTTAAAATTTAAACACATTCGAAAAATTAATTTAAATATTCTTACAATACTTTATTTGCAATATAGACTATACTATTTATTGATGACAAAGTGTGAGGATAATTGTACTAAAAAAACAAATTTTTGTGTTGTTATTTTCTGTTATTTGAAGGGAAAATAAGTATATATTTATTTTTAAATTTAACAAAGCGATTAGCAAACTTTTTTCTTATTAAATATAACAAAATATTCTTCATATAAATTTTTAAACATCATACTTTAAGTTTAAAGTGGTTTTAAATATTTTTTTTAGTATTCAAACATATTCGAAAGATAAATTTAAATATTATACTCTATTTTTAATATAAACTATATTATTTAATGACGACGATATGTGGGGATAATTGTACTACAGAAAACATTTTTTTTTAAAGATTGAAAGAGTTTCGCAGTTTTTAAAAATTGTATTTACATATATTTTTTGTAATATTACATTTCTTACGGTTCTTTTTAATCAATGTTTCTTGATCCATCTTTTCAAAAATAGTAATATGTAAAGTTTAAATGCTAAGTATAACTAGCAATATGTAAAGCTTAACGGCAAAGTATAAATAATAATATGCAAAGTTTAAATGCAAAGTGTAAATTATAATATGAATAGCATAAATTGTAAAATGCAAAGTATAAATAATAATATGCAATGTATAAATAATAATATAAATAGCATAAATTGTAAAATGCAAAGTATAAATAATAATATGCAATGTATAAATAATAATATAAATAGCATAAATTGTAAAATGCAAAGTATAAATAATAATATAAATAGCATAAATTGTAAAATGCAAAGTATAAATAATAATATGCAATGTATAAATAATAATATAAATAGCATAAATTGTAAAATGCAAAAGTATAAATAATAATATGCAATGTATAAATAATAATATAAATAGCATAAATTGTAAAATGCAAAGTATAAATAATAATATGCAATGTATAAATAATAATATAAATAGCATAAATTGTAAAATGCAAAGTATAAATAATAATATGCAATGTATAAATAATAATATAAATAGCATAAATTGTAAAATGCAAAGTATAAATAATAATATGCAATGTATAAATAATAATATAAATAGCATAAATTGTAAAATGCAAAGTATAAATAATAATATGCAATGTATAAATAATAATATAAATAGCATAAATTGTAAAATGCAAAGTATAAATAATAATATGCAATGTATAAATAATAATATAAATAGCATAAATTGTAAAATGCAAAGTATAAATAATAATATGCAATGTATAAATAATAATATGCAAAGTTTAAATTAAAAATGTATGGACATTTTAGAACAGAAATGTAATGTTCTATTTCAATATTAATTATGAATCAATGTAATTTCAAATTTTCATTACAAATATCATAAGCTATGAAGTCCAGCTACACAGTATCAAAAATTGATCTGTAATGAAATAATTTATTTTTTAAAACCAATATTTTTCCAAATATTTGTGTGCTCAACTCTAATATATTTACTTTTCAAAATATATTTAACATATAATTTACATTAAATTTTCTTCAAAATTACAACTTTTTTTCACTCATATGCTTATTGTTTTTTAACTCTAAAATATTCCACAGTAACAAAATATGGAACGAATTTCAAGACTGAAAAAAATATACATATATATTAAATCAGTTTTTCATTATCGAATACTAAAAAAAACCTTTTTACTGTTTGATAGGACAATTTAAATAACCCAAAAACAATTTCAACAAAATGGTTGAATGTCGAAATGTGGTATCTGCAGTAAAAGTTATTCCAAATAAAATAAAAGACCATAAAAAAAAAATCTGACCTTTCATCTGGCATTCATATCAGGAAGAAGCTTATTTTAATTACTATTCATTCTTGCTATCAAATCATCCATTTTAAAGATTCAATATTTGAAGATTCATTAATTAATATTCCATTCAATTTAAATCTTGGATGCTAATAGCAGCAATTGAAACGAATCCACCGTTTCTAATCACAGATAAACGGAATATGATTAATTAATATCTTTAACTAGCCTGCTAATTAAATCAAATCTTCTATTGACATTCGTGATAAGCTTATACTAATGAATACTTAAACGTCAAATTAAGACAAGTACTATTTACAGTGCTTTAAGGATATTAATTATAAATTGGGTTCCTTTTATTTGAATTATAGAGTAATTTAATGCTGAATATTTTAATTAATTTGAAAAAAGCAGCTCTTTTTAGTCCTATACAAATTCAATAAAGATGCAGTTTACTTCCTTTGTTTGATGCAGATATGTAATAAATTAGAAATTAATTTTTAGGTTTCTTTAACAAAAATTAATTGGTTTTTTATTTCTATATCCAAAGGGTTATTAAAAATTTTTTTTTCTGCGTTTTGAACTACGTTCTGTTTGCTATTCTAAACGAAACAAAATTTGGGCTATAATGATTTCACACTATACATTGATCATTTATTAAGTAAAATATTTAAGTTTCGAAGTATGAGGATATATGACCCTAAAACATACATGGCATTTATTTGTTCAAGTGTGAATAATTTGATTTTTGGACTAGGTCACATAATTCAATGAGGGGATATTTATTTAAATCTTACGTGTGAGCTACAGCACCACCTATTGTTAAATTTTTACATTATTTTAATTAATAAGTAATGAACTTTATAACCTACTGGTGAAGTTAATTTTTGTTCACTTGGTTTAACGTAAAAAAAGTCACCTACTAACAATCATACAATTCCAACATTATTTCTTCCTAAATTAAAGTTTATGTTTTGTATAACCGGATTGCAAATAACACTTACTTTACTGGAATCCCAGATTCGCCACAATGAAGCAAATTTTCTTGACAAAAAACCAAGAAGCTAGCAATCACGCCTTTTAAAACACAATGACAGCCATCTTTAATTTTCATAGAACAACAATAACGTTGCCAATTTCGCTTAACTAAACATTAACACACGCTACACGCGTAAATATAATTTAAAGCTAAACGTGCAAATATAACACTTGCTATTTTATTTCTTTTATTTTTTATATCGTCATATTACAAACAAATGATGTTTATCTGTTTTAAAACTCCACTTTCCTCGTGTTGTTATTATTTTTCCCATGAAGGATTGACCAACCATACGGCCATACCATGCTGAATATACCGGTTCTCATTAGATCACCGAAGTCAAGCATCATTGGGCGCGGCGCGGTCCAGACCTTGGGTGGGTGACCACCTGAGAACACCGCGCGCCGTTGGCATTCACAAATTTGGGACCTGAATGGCCGAATGTCTAGCGCTCTGGCGCTCGGTGCCACAGGTTTCGGGTTCGAATCCCGGCGGTGCCATGGATGTTTGTAGGGGTTCGGAATCCACTTTAAGCCGTAGGTCCCGGTCTCCTATGACTGTAAGAGCGTCACGGAGCCAAAGTCAAACTTCTACCTACGGGTGCTCCATTACAACAGAAGCTGCTTCCTTCCCATTCAATCATGAGTACGTATGGGCTCGTGGGCTTGGGCAGCCAAGTGGGATAAGAAACAACAACAACAGGATTGACTAAGTGTATGAATCCAAATTCATATATGAATGTATAAATCATATGTCAATATATGACTCTAAAGCACAAATGGCATATGTTTGCACGTGTGTCGAACTTTTGATTTTTGGACTAGATCATATTGTAGCTCAATGAATGGAGGTATTTTAAATCATCTGTGAGCTACAGCGCCACTTACTGTTAAATTTGAACTACTGTAACTTGAAGATAAACTACGAACGCGGGGTAACAATACCCCCACAACGCTCTATGATCATATCACACCCGGGTCTACGGTTTAAAGTGGATTCCGCACCATTACAAACATTCATGTCCCGTCGGAACTTGAACCCGAAACCTATGACACAAAGCGCCAGAGAGCTAGTTACTACTCATATATATATATATATATATATATATATATATATGAGTATATATATGAGTATATATATATATATGAGTATATATATATATATATATATATATATGGTGCCATCAGCCATATGTACATATATGCTGCCCTCAACTACATATATATATACACTCAAGAGCCATAATATTATGACCACCCCTACATTTTGCAATGAATTCGCCTGGATGACGTGGAAGACACGTGATCAGGTGGAAGTGGTATCTACCTGGTATTAAGTGGTGGTATTAATCCATGCCAAGATGGGTTGAAGCTGTGTTTGCGCGCCAAAGGTGGGCCAACTCGTTATTGACAGGTGGTCATAATGTTTTGCTCTTGAGTGTATGCGGCGTATGTCGATAGAAAACAAATGGTATTTATTTGCTCATCTATAATTTGATTTTTTTTAGTTCAATTAATAGAGATATATTTAAAACTTATACGTGAGCTACAGCGTCACCTAATGTTAAATTTTCGTACTCTATTAATTAATATGTAATGAACTTTATAACTTTAAAATAAATTTTGAAAATAAGTGGAGTAACGTGAAATTCAGTTTTGTTCACTCCGTATTTTATATTTATTATTTATTTTTGTGACTCTTGAAATACATAAGATAGATAATTGGATAAATATTTTATAGAACAATTTTGTTGTATTTATTTATTTATTATTCTTTTTTCTTTATTCTACTTAATAAACAGTAAAAATCGCAAATCAAAAATGCAAAATTTATCAAAATAAGATTAATTTTAAATAAATACCTACTTAATCAACGGATCATTATAAATTTAGTTTATTTCAAACACAATTTATAGAAAATTTTACAAGATTTTTACTAAAAAATCATTTTCATTTATGCAAATGATGAATATTAACAACAACAACAACAAAAAAAAAAAAAAATAGCATCAAACCATAACATATCCTCCAAATAAAAATAATCCTCACGTTAATTAATGCAATAAATTCAACAACAAAAACGCAAATTGCAAAAAAAGAAAGCAATTTTTTAGCCATTAAAGTGCTCAACTTCCCAAAAATAAAAGCGATTAATAGCCACATCAGACAAATCCCACACTTAAAGATAACAGGCTGACACTAAAATGCTAGACTAAAATCGATCACAACAAATAAAAATAAATCCGCAACATCAATTCGACGATTATAAACAACGATTCGGCTAAATTACCTTCATTAAACCCTTCATTCTTCCGCGTTTACACATTCCATAACTCACCCATAACATAAGAGTTAAGATAAAAAATATCACCAGACTCTGCGGAAAGAGGATCCAAATTTTGAAAAAGAGAACTTTAGCTACCAGATTGATGTATTTGTGGTGTTAATACTGTTGTAAATCATCCGGGGTCGTACCAAAGGGGGTGGGATGGAGATCAGGTAAAAGCCCCTTGCACCCCCCCCCCCAACAAAAATTTATTTTTGTTTACATTAAAAACCATTAATCTAGCGACGTTGAGGGTTTTAATTTAGGGCGAAAGCAACACAAAGGAAAACTGGTTCGCAGTAAAATCTCATTTTTCTAAAATGTTGCGGAAATTAAAAGCGCTTAAGCGTTTATGTAGCGTGGTGGGGAGAAATATCCCACGCTGTGATTGCGAACAGTCGAGGAAAAGATATGTTCTTCGCTTTTCAAGATTTTTTTTTTTTTTTTTTTAATAATATTGTGGGAATGTAATTAGATGTTATGAATCATATGACAAAGAGTTTTTTCAACGTTTTGGAATAATAAATGATACATAGATATTCATATGAAAAAAAACTTAAGGTATATATAATAATAAAAAATTAATTGATATTTTTTTTTATAGAAACCACAATAAAAATGTGATTATATACATATATATATATCTATGTATATATGGGACCTGATGGCCGAGTGACTAGCGCTCAGGCGCTCGGTTCCACAGATTTCGGGTTTGAGTACCGGAGGTATTATAATGTTTGTAGGTGTTCGAAATCCCTTTAAGCCTTATGCCCCGATCTTATATGACTGTAGAGCGTCACAGAGCCCAATCAGACTTCATTCCCAAACTGTAAAGGAGCAACTCAGCTCTAGGACCAGTGATGTGATGTGATGTAATGTAATGTAGTGTAGTGTAGTGTAGTAGCGAAAGTACAACCGCCTATTCACCAGGCTAATCTAACACAGTTTAAAAAAGAATTAAAAATTTAAGAACATTTAACATCAAAAAAATGATTGCTATTAAATATGTTTAAAAGATTTTCTTTGGTAAGATGGTAGGACAAACATTTTATAAATTCTATTTTATATAATGCTTTTGCTGTGTTTATGCATTTATTTTTTCGTTTTCTATGTTGTTTAGTAAACAGTGAACGAAGTATGTTAGTTAATTTAGCGTAAGAAGTTTTATTATTATTATTATTTATTTATTTATTATTTTATTTAAGTAAACAGTAAACAACAGTTGTGGTTTCACGACAAAATACAACATTTCCTAAATAAGATTAATTTTAAATACACAATACCTACATAATCACCGGATAATTTTTATTTTAGTTTATTTCCTGACATAATTTGTAGAAAACTTTACAAGATTATTACTAAAAGATCATTTTCATTTATGCAAATGATGAAAATCAACAACTTCATCAACAACAAATTGAGGCTTCAAGACAAGATACCATATTTCTCAAAATAAGATTAATTTTAGATACACAACGTCTACATAATCACCGGATAATTTTTATTTTATTTTATTTCCCACACGATACAAATAAACAAAATTTTAAGATTATTACTAAAAGATAATTTCCATTTATGCAAATGATGAATATCAACCTAAGAAAAGTATCCTAAAATATCCACAAGATAAAAATAATCCTTACATTAATTAATGCAATAAATCCAACAACAAAAACGCAAATTGCAAAAACGTAAGCAATTTTTTAAACATTAAAGTGCTCAACTTCTGCAAAATAAAAGCGATTAATAGCCACATCGGACAAATCCTGCACTTAAAGATAACAGGCGGACACTAAAATGCCGGACTAAAATCGATAACAACAAATAAAAATAAATCCGCAACAACAATTCGACGATTATAAACGACGATTCGGCTAAATTACCTTCATTAAACCCTTCATTCTTCCGCGTTTACACATTCAATAACTCACACATAACATAAGAGTTAAGAAAAAAAAAATTATCACCAGCGTTTAAGGAAAAAGGATTCAAAATTTGAAAAAGAGAACTTTAGCTACCAGATTGATGTGCTTGTGGTGCTAATACTGTTGTAAATCATAAGGGATCGAAACAGGGCTGGAGATCAGGTAAACACCCCTTTTACACCCACTCACCCCTGATAACAAAAATTTATTTTGGTTCGCATTAAAAGCCATTAATCTAGCGACGTTGAGGGTTTTAATTTAGGGCAAAAGCAACACAAAAGAAAACAGGTTTGCAGTAAAAACTCATTTTTCTAAAATGTTGCGGAAATTAAAAGCGCTTAAACGTTTGTGTAGCGCGGTGGTGAGAATTATCACGCACTGTGATTGCGAACAGTCGAGGAAAAGAGACGTTCTGCGCTTTATTATTTTTTTATATTTAATAATATATTAGAAAGGTAATTAGATGTTATGAATCATATGACAAAGGCGTTTTTCATTGTTGTGGAATAATAACTCATGTATAGATATTCATATGAAGAAAAGACTTAAGGTACATATATCACTAAAAAAGATTTTAGTTAATCTAGAGTTATCATTTATTATTTTTTATAGAGACCACATTAAAAATGTAATTATATATACATATGTACATACATGATTGAGAGTCACATATATGGCCATATGGCTGATGGCACCGTATATACACTGAAGTTACAAAAGTCATGGGATAGCAATATGCAAATTTTCAGATGGCAGTAGCATCGCGTAGGACAGGTATAAATGCACAGTGCTTTCGCAGAGCTTTCATTTCTGTTCAAGTTATTCATGTGAAGAGGTTTTGACGTGATGATGACCGCACGACGGGAATTAACAGACTTTGAACGCGGAATGTTAGTTGGAGCTAGACGCATGGGTCAGCCATTTCGAAATCGTTAGGAATTCAACATTCCCAGATCCACTGTGTCAAGAGTGTGCCGAGAGTATGAAATTTCAGGCATAACATCCCACCATGGACAGCGCAGTTAACGACCGAGACCGGCGTCGTTGCAAAGAGTCGTAAATTCTATGCGTCAAATAACCGCAGAAATCAACGTGGGACGTACAAGGGACTTGTCTGTTAGAACTGTGCGGAGAAATTTGGCTTTTTTGGGCTATTCCA